CCTCAGCTTCTCCAATGTCACTACCTCCCAAGTGTAGAGGTCACAGGCTCACCTTACCCTGCCCAGTGCTCACTGGAAATTTATTTCCTCATGCAGTGAGGTTGGTAAGTGTGATGTGTAAGCGGTGATTAAGCCCCAGCGCGGTTGTTTCTAGAATGGTGTCCTACCTTCTGCTTTGTTGCTCTCACCACATGATGCACTCTGCACCTCGATACTAGACTCCACTGCCTCCAGAGCGACAAGGAAGAAATTGCTTTTCATGGTAAATTACCAGTCTCTGGTATTATACTCAACAGACTAGGACAACCACCTAGATAAGTCCTTGCCTCCAATGCGTTGTTCTTTTTCAATCAGTCCCGGTATTATTACCCCAAAGTGTTCTCTGAAGAAACCCAAATCAACTTCTTAAATTTGTATCAATAAATCAAAATTCATACCAATACAAAGTATTCATTTCTATCATACTCCCCTTTTTTTCTTTAGAAGAAGATTGACTGTGACCATTAACTATTTGTTATCAGCACTCAAACTCTTGCTTCTTTAAATTGCTTTTGCTAGGCATTTTATCATAGCAGCAGCAGCAGCAACAACAACAATGAAAAATAACTAATACAGACATGAGCTGAGCAAGCATCAGTTCCTCCCAGATAGGGCACTGACAACAGACCAAAGATTCTCCCGGAGTCTAACTTAGTGAACCCCTGTGGTGGGATATTTGTACACTGTGTGAAGATGTTCTGCTGCCACTGGTGTAATAAAAAGCTGAAAGGCCAATAGAGAGGCAGAAGGTATAGGCAGGGTTTCCAGGAGAGAGAGGAAGAGGAGGAGGAGGCATCTAGGCACACAGGAGACACAGAGGAAACAGGAGGTGCAAGATGGAAGAAAGGTAATGCCACATGATAGAACATAGATTAATATAAATGGGTTAAGTTACCAGAGCTAGTTAGGAACTAGCCTAAGCTATAGGCTGAGATTGTATAATTAATGAGAAGTCTCCATGTCATTATTTGGGAGCTGGCTGACAGGACTGAAAAAGCTGGTTACAAACCACAGTGGGTTTACTGGGGTTAATTGCAGGAACATGAAAGCTCTGCAAACCTAGAGTTCCCAGCAAGCTCACAGCCATACCCAGGAGACTACGGAGGATTCCCTCCAATTCAAAGACAACCTGAGCTACATACTAAGTGCCAAGTCAGCTCAGTTTACAGAGTGCAGACAGACAGAATATACCCAGTTGAAAAATCACAACACATTGCAATTCAACATCATATCTGCTGATAAGATTGGATCTGCTGGGGGGGGGGCACTCCTTTAATCCGAGCACTCGGGAGGCAGAGGCAGGCGGATCTACAAGAGCTAGTTCCAGGACAGCCTCCAAAGCCACAGAAAAACCCTGTCTCAAAAAACAAACAAAAAGATTGGATCTGCTTTCCTGGTAGAGCCAAAACTGCAACCCAACAAGGAGAGGAAGGAGCCGGACCATACAAACAGCAAGCAGTGGTTCTTGGGGCAGCAGCCAGGACTCAGAGGCCTCACCAGACAGGCAGTGTTAGAGCCTCACCTTGGACTTCCCAAATTCTGTTATAAGCCACCTTACCACAGCTGGACAGACTAAGGGAATTCCAAAGATAGCCTGTGTTACCATCTAAAGGTACCATGCCTTTGCATTTCGTGTTTAAATCTAAGCTGTTGTGAGTTAGAGGGCAGTGGTCAAGGTTTGAGTCAAGAGTCACCAAATTTTGGTGACTTGTGAAATACTTTTTCTACATTTTATTAATATGGTTGTATTTTTCTTTACCCTGTTATTCGGATTTTTTTTTTTTAAATTTGGGTTTGTTTGGGTTTTTTTGTTTTTTTTGTTTTTTTTTTTTAGATAGAAAAAGATAAATGCATGCAGCTCACTAGAATTCCTATCCTGCTCAGTTATTTTATAGGGTTCCCTGCTGTGCTAATGGGTTTGGTTTCCTGACCCTTTTGTAGTAAATTACCACAGACCATTGGCCTAAAACAACAGAAATGTGTTCTCTCCACAGTTGAAGAGGCCAGAAGTCTAGAACTTGATTTGGTGCCTGAGACCAGGGTGTCAGCAGAGCTTTGCGCCCTCTGCAGCTCTCCATGAAGAATCCACTCCCTGCCTCTTGCAGCTTCTGTCACTGTCATTCTGGTGTCAGTGCCCCTGGCACTAATGTCTCAGAACCTGCTCCCATATCATCCTTCCTCTGTCCTTCTGTAGATCTTCAAGAAGGCACTTAGGACCCTCCTGGGTCACTGAGGGCAGCCACCTGACCTGCACATCGGTTACACACAAGGCAACATCCACAGGCTCTGAAGATGAGGACCAGGCTTCTTTGCTGGTCTATTTACTGAGTAAGCTGTCCTTCTCAGAATTCTGTCCCCATGGGTTCTGATACACTGTGCTCCAGTAGTATTTTCATACTTGACGACTGTAATTTGGTGTCCTTGAAGACTGTTCGTCTTCTGTGTTAGTTCACACACCCCTTGGGGCTGTCCTTGATCTCAGGACAATCTCCTGGATTCCTGTAAATCATAAATCCCTCACCTCTGTCTTTATTTCTGACCTTTTCCTCAAATCTTGGGTTCCATCTGTATTTAGCCAAATTCCTACCCCAAATATCTATTTAGATCATAATCATACTTTTCTTTCTTTTTTGTGATTGTGTGTGTGTGTGTGTGTGTGTGTGTGTGTGTGTGTTTGAAACAGAATCTTCCATATCCCATGTATCTTTGGTTGACCTCAAATTTGGTGTGTAGACCAGGCTGGCTGGAACTCAGAGACCCACTTATTTCTGATTCCATATTGCTGGTATGGAAAGCATTTGCCACTACACCTGGCTTGTGTTCATCGTACTTAAATAGTATACTAACAAAATAGGGTTTGGGTTTTCCTACAAGCTAAAGTACAATCAGGTTCTCAGACTGGAGTAAGTGTACACAGAAAGAGCACTGAATTGATAGGGTGGCACTGAGGGGCAGGAAGAGTATCCCCTGTTACTCCTTGGCAAATGAGCCCTCAAATAATAAAGGAAGCACCCTTTCATTGCCTTCTCTGTGTCTTCCATATGGACACCATCATGTTATGAAGGTTGCAAACAGATCAGCCCTTATTTCTCAATAAGCATATGCTCAACTGGTGAGATGGCTAAGCAGGTAAAAGTGCTTGGCGCCACGCCTGTATGCACATATGTGTGTATATATGTGTGAGAGAACTTGTATCCACACTATAGTGCCTAGCACATAGCACAGCAGGCAATCCTAACTCTTAGAACTGGGATTCCAGGAATATCAGATTAGGCTGGATGGCCCTTTATCCTCATAACACACTGGACACCACCTTCTCCTACCACATGATGAAACGCTCATCATCGGCTTCCATAACTGAGATCGCAAGCCTCTTGAGGTAGAGACCACACCATTCATCTTCTCACTCTAATGCTGAGATAGTACATTGGCCAACATTTAGCAGGCATTCAAAAAAATTTATTAAACCAATTTCTGTCATACTTCCCAGCCATTTCTGAAAGCCAGAAGAGATTTCTTGAAGTGTTTTTGAAGAGTTCTAGCAGGCCCAAACACAGTAAACATGGTGCCAATCCTGACTAAAAGACAATTAGATTGCATTCCTAAAGCTAGCCCCAAGGACCAACAATCAAAACTCATTATTTGACTAACACGTCCAATCAGGATTTACCAACTGGCCCTAGCACAGACTACCTCCTTTTTCTCCTTAAAAGCTCAATCTGCAGAAACACCTGCAACTGTTTCTTAGCTGTTCCTGCCCCCACTTCCCTTCCCCCACC